GGGAAATTTATGATCATGTTATTAATGATGTATTATATTACATAGCAAGGTAAGTAACATCAATAGTTTAATTTCTATGTAATTAAGAACAAAATAGCAACGTCTACCAGGTAAATGTTTTCTAAGTTTGAATTTGAAATATTTTAATGTAAAAAAATTCATACCTTTCTGCCTTTCCACTCCAGAATATTCTTGCTGTTTTAGATTTATACCACACTTCTGCTAAGGGCTTGGGCATAACAGCAGTAGCAGTAACAACAACAAAAATAATGCAACTCTGATAAATAATTAAAAAGTCCAAATGTAAAAGGTGCATTTCTTTTTAACCCTGTTTAAAATCCAAGTAAAGGTAAAGGTTCCCCTTGCACATATGTGCTAGTTGTTCCCGACTAGCGGACGGTGCTAATCTCCGTTTCAAAGCTGAAGAGCCAGCACTGTCCGAAGACGTCTCCATGGTTATGTGGCTGGCATGACTAAACGCCAAAGGCACACAGAACGCTGTTACCTTCCCACCAAAGGTGGTCCCTATTTTTTCTACTTGCATTTTTTATGTGCTTTCGAACTGCTAGGTTGGCAGAAGCTGGAACAAGTAACGGGAGCTCACCCCGTTACGCAGCACTAGAGATTCGAACCACTGAACTGTCGATCGACAAGCTCAGCGTCTTAGCCACTGAGCCACCACATCCCCCAAATCCAAATAGTGTTAAATTATGCAGCAGAAATGCCATTAAGCAATATGACTTTACTTCCCCTTTCTCAAGTCCAGAGTCAAAGATAAACAGCAAGATGTGTTGGAAAGCCAGCTTAGTTATAAACTTCAGCTCAGTGGAAGTCATTTTACTGTGAACCAAGTTGGGACTTGAAATAAGTAAAAATAGCTTGACTGGGCTGAAGACTGGGCTTAGAGATGCTATCACTATCTACTGAGTTATGAACTTCTATTTTTATTCAGCATTCCCTCTTTAAAATGTCTTCCTAGGTTGTGTGCATATCTGAAATGTACGGAAAACTTTATGTCTTTTTCTTGTTCTGTATGATCATGGATCCATCATGTTTCTCCAGTTCTTAAGATTTGTTGGCTGGCTGTCATCATTTTTATTACTGAGAACATTTATGAGATAAACGTTTCTCCTGCGCTTGCAACAGAAACTTTATGATGCAACATGGCTTATTTGCCAGTATCATTATCAGAATGAATCACTCTGGCTTTTGAAGTAACTGCCTGTGATAGAGGATTGTGTAGTTTAACCCTTGTCTCCCTTAATTTATTGGATTGGTCTTTATCTTTCTTTCCTTCTCATTATATTTAAGACAGATTCGTGAGCCTATCCTATGTAAGAGCAAATGCTTGGAGCTGTTGCAAGAGAGGCAATTGTGAATCTTGAATCTAGGCTTCCCTAGATTCAGAGAATAGAGACTGAACTTGGTCAGAAATACAAGAGAAATCTTCTCTTAATGAACTAACGACGGGACTGCTATTTTCTAAGTCTGAAAGAACAAAGAGTAATCATCATGCCTTTATCATTGGCATGATTATATCTTTGTGCAAATGACACAAATCACAGTGGAATTTATTCTGTTACATACAAAGTCTGTTCAGTAGAAATCCAGAAAATCAAAAATTGTATATGAAACTTGTAAATAACTGAAATGAATACTGAAAAATAACTTTCAAGGTACTTGGAACGGTTAGTAGCTGGGCGCCTGTAGATGCCATTTGTCTGCAGTTTTCAGTTTAGTCAGCGCGTTTCCCCCCAGCTATCCTTGTACAAGTACAAGTTGTTCTCGACTTACCACAGTTGGTTTAGTGACCATTCAAAGTTACAATGACACTGAAAAAAGTGACATGACCATTTTTCACACTTCTGATTGTTGCAGTACCCCCATGGTCACGCAATTTACATTCAAATGCTTGACAACTGGCTCACATTTATGACGGTTGCAATGTCCCGGGGTCATGTGATCATCTTTTGCTACTGTAAGGTCCCAAAATGTACTTGAGTCACCAGAATGCCAAAGAGAGAGACTCAAGATGAGGCTTGCAAAAAGAAGCAGATTTTATTTTCGGCCAAAAACAAAATACTGGGTGAAACTATATCCAGAACATATAGATACAATGCATGTGAGGAATAGCCACACATTGGGGAAGGTATGGTGTGCTTTTATACCTTCAGAATACACAGTTCTGGCCCCCTGGCCCACGCCTTCCTTGTAGCCCGGCATTGGCTGTAGAGCAAAGAACAGGGGGATTGAGCGCTTAGCAACAGAGGGGCTGGGTGCTTAGCAACATAGGTACCAGGCTCAGAGTTTCACAGAAAAACAAGATAATTCATTAGCCACTCTCCTCCACTCTCAAGACCCTTACTTAATAGGAAAAATCTTTGAATTTACTATAAGTGCAAATGGCAGAGCCAATTCCAATTCTTAGCAAAGCAATTCTTACAGAAGCAAAACAGCAAGTCAAACCAATTCTACCGACTCTACTATTATGTCCCACTAATTCTACCTATTCTACTATTATTATGTCCCTACATTACCTTCTGACAAAGTCAATGGGGAAGCCAAATTCACTTAACCATGTTACTAATTTAACAACTGCAGGGATTCATTTAACAAACGTGGCAAGAAAAGTCATCCAAGGGGGCAAAATTCACTTAGAAAATTGCTCATTTAGCAACATAAATTTTGGGCTCAGTTGTGATTGTAAGTCTAGGATTACCTGAAGTCCTTGAGTTGTAAACTGATCATAAGTTACAGCAGTCATAAAATGGGTTGGTGATATGACTGACCCAGTTTTACAACCTTTTATGCAGCAGTCATTAAGCAAACAGTGATAGTAAAGTGGCTGCCCTACTTGTTAAGTGAACACAAATCAATGATTGTCAAAGCCATTATGCGGTCACATGGCTGCGGGAGTGGGGAGGGTGACAGTTGGAACTTAGAATCTGGGTTATAAGTCCCCGTTTTGGGGTTGGTTGTAATTTTAAACAGTTGCTAAGAGTAAATCAAGGATTTATCTTAACCCCTTAAACTCCAAAGAGTGCAGCCTTCCAGTTTGCCTGATTTTTGCAACCGGATGCAATTCAATGCAATGTTGAGTTGCTAGAATTATACAAAAGCTGGTTTTCTAATATTATTAACTGTTCCTTTCCCAAGGATTGGGTCTCTAGATGTCTAAAAGGTCGTACAGTATTTCTGGTTTTGGGAAATCCTACTGTGAGAATCCTGAATAGAATAGAACAGAACAGAACAGAACAGAACAGAACAGAATCGAACCAAACCAAACCAGACCAGACCAGACCAGACCAGACCAGACAGTTATAGAGGTGCAGATGACAGACTCAATAATTCCTCTGTAGAACTGAATCAGCAATTCCTTGGGCAGTTTGAGCTTTCTGAGTTGGCGCAGAAAGAACATTCTTTGTTGTGCTTTTTTGATGATGTTTTTGATGTTAGCTGTCCATTTTAGATCTTGCAATATGGTAGAACCTAGAAATTTGAAGGTCTCTATTGTTGATACTGTGTTGTTTAGTATTGTGAGAGATGGAAGTATGGAAGGGTTTCTCCTAAAGTCCACCACCATTTCTACGGTTTTGAGTGTGTTCAGTTCCAGATTGTTCCGGTTGCACCATGAGGCTAGTTGTTCAAGCTCCCAACTGTGTGTGGATTCATCATTGTCTCGAATGAGACCGATCACTGTTCTGTCATCTGTGAACTTCAGTAGTTTAACAGATGGATCATTAGAGATGCAGTCGTTGGTATACAGAGAGAAGTGGGGAGAGCACACAGCCTTGGGGAGCCCCTGTACTAATTGTACAGGTATCTGATGTGATTCTGCTTAGCTTCACCTGCTGCTTCCTGTTTGTTAGGAAGCTTATGATCCACTTACAAGTGTGTTCAGGTACCTGTAGCTGGTTTAGCTTAGTTAGAAGAGTGTCAGGAATGATGGTATTGAATGGTATTGTTTGCCGTAGTCCTACCACATCTCAAAAGTGAATGGCCGGAAAAGACTGGTGTTCTCCACAGTCTCATTTCTCTAATTTTGTGATCAAGTTTACACTGTTTCAATAGTTCTACACTTATCTGGACAGCTATTTTCAGAAAGCTATGGTTTACCCCATCGCAGTTGAACCCTATAGATACCCCATGAAGCTTTTGTATTATTTAATCTCAACATTAAATTATCAAATGAAAGGATCTTGGAATTTAAGATACGGTGTCATCTATATTTTGATGTTGCAAACTGAATAATGGAAATATTGATATTTGAAATTAGTACGGTGATTCACTATCAATAAACTGAAATTTAATCTAGACAAGAATAACAGCCTGGAAGGTGAACGAATAGATTAACTAGGAAGAAGGCTACGGAGAAAATTATTTAACTTGCATTTTTAAGAAAATGTGTTTAATTTATATTCCATGATCAGTTCTATGAACATTGTAGCTCCAAGATCTGAGCTCCTTTGCAGCACAAGTATTTATAAATACATTTATACTAAGGGAGAAAACACTTGGAAAAGGTATGTGCTAGGAAAGTGCATTTAGTAGCGCATTCATTAGGTATTTAAATTGAAATACATGTGATTTTCTGAACTATTTGATTAGAAGAGATGCATATATTTAAGCAGAGGAAATGAGACACAGACATCAGAACTGGCATAAAGTAAAACCAATAAAAGCCCCCATCTTCCCAGACAGTTGGGGTTCCGGCAGTTTTGATGAAAATGCACATTTTCTTTAATTACAAAACAAATTACCAGTTGATTCAAATACACTTCACCCTTAAGGTGTTTAAAGCACTTTTTAAAATAAAGTTTAAATTGATGTATGTTTTGCATTAGTATGCATCTGAATACATCGTGCCTGGATTTCTGTTGAAACATTTTGTAACAGTATGTCAATGCCAGTCATCTTTGAATTACTTAAATTTTGACAGACATTTCTCAACAACATCCAACGTAATATAGTTATGCCAGTGCCAGATGCAGGCATTTGAAATGTACACTCCCATCAGTCCTGAAGTCCATTCCTGTTTGTTTTCGAGACATCCAACCAAAGTATAGGTGGCCAGTGAAGAGTATAATTGTTTATTCATTATCCATGAGGACTCACTTGGATTGTGGTAAGCTTTTTCATTAGAATGTTTGGGTTTTTAGAGATGGATGGTAAGCCAATATGGAGCTTGGAGAATTGCTTTTAATAAATATTTAATATCCCCCTTACAAATCTAGTTTTGGGGGGAATTCTGTGGGTTGGTCAATGAAGGCTAGGAAGGTCTAGTTTGGGAAAGGCTGGAATCAAAAGGCTGGAATCAAAAGAACTTACACTTTGAACGTTTGAAAAGCTGAAGGAAAGTTGTGACATAGCCTTTAAACACAAATAAAACACAAAGTTAGTTTTTCAGTGGATCTTCTAAGTTTGCCTTAGCAGAAATCAGCCTGTTCTATTGATTGAGGTCATTAGCCGCCTTCTCTATATTGGTTGAGTGTTGTTTCTCTTTGGCAGGACAAAGGCAATCCTTTCCTACCAGTTTGATGTAAACTTCTTCTTTAATAAATAATGGAGGCCAATGATTTGTTGGCTAACCCATAGATTATGGCTTAGAATAAATATCATTGTGGTTGTTGTTGTCTTGGCTGTTCTCTTTTAGGGCTTATTTGATCCATTCTGCACCCCAAAACACACTAGCGTCTTCCCTAGGTCTCAAAATTATAGGCATAGCCCAAGACACATGTCTATATGAGGTGAAACAAAACATTATTTTCCTACCCTGCTAAGTAGAATGTCATCTTCAGAGGTGGTTGAATTATATGGGAACCTGACCAGAAACATCTCATAAGCTGCTCCAGCAAGAAACAGAAATACACTTTTTGTAATCTGATTAACTAAGCCTCCTGTGACCAGATGCTCAAGATTGCCTCTATCTGATGGGATCTACTAGCATCTTTTTTTGAACAGTGTCTCCATTCAGGCAATTTTCTCACATACTTTTTCAGTATGTTGAAAAAGGTCAGAAACGGGGGTGAAATCCAGCAGGTTGTGACAGGTTCTGCAGAACCGGTAGCGGAAATTTTGAGCAGTTCGGAGAACCGGCAAATACCACATCTGGCTGGCCCCAGAGTGGGGTGGGAATGGAGATTTTGCATTATCCTTCCCCTGGAGTGCGGTGGGAATGGAGATTTTGCAGTATCCTTCCCCTGCCATGCCCACCAAGCCACACCACGCCCACAAAGCCATGCCTACAGAACCGGTAGTAAAAAAAAATTGGATTTCACCAGTGGTCAGAAGAACCATTTCCACAGAGGAAGATAGGGCACCCCTCTTCTGAATGTAATGTTTCCAAGAGAGCACTTCGCTACTCCAAACAGGAGAATGCTCCAGGTATGTCTCAAGATGCATTTATTTGAAAGGAGAGAGAGAAAGAGATGTTGGAGAGCCCCTTCTAACATCTTTCTGCTATTTTTTAATGCAAGGTTTGGTTTCTTTCTCTTACCTTCGGTATAGTGGGAATTTAAAAGCTCCCTTTCATTTTTGAGTAGGGTCCAGCATTCAAGCAAAGGTTCAGTGCTTCTTGACATTTGCAAGGATGCGGGGATTTAACAAAGTATTGGTGCCAGGCAAAGAGCAGAGATGCACAATGTCCTGAATAACCAAGAGTGGCAAAATATAAGTTCCATGTCTTGTTCAAGCTAAGAGTAGATTGTGGGTTTTCTCTTGATGCTCTCTGAGCTTGGTTGGTTTCCTGCAGATGTTTTATTACCAAATAAAACATTAAATAACATCATCAGTGCTAGAAGGGAGTGGGATTTGCTCTCATTTTATATACTAATGGATTGACTTGTTGGTGTTGATGGGAGTGGTTTTAGTGTTTCCTTGATTAGATTGTTGTTTATTGTTACCTTGTTATCTGTGTTGGTAGTTCCTTGATTAATTAAAGTCTAATTAGGACCACTTTCCAACACTGCCACCAACAGGGCAATCTAATAGTATATAAACTGAGTACAAAGCCCACTCCCTTCTACCTCTGATGATGTTACCTAAATGGGTAATGAAACATCTGCAAAAAAACCCATCAAGTTCTGAGAGCATCAAAGACCCCAGAATTCAACCCTGAGCTACAAATATTCTCTTCCATAATAGCAGACTTATTTTAATTTTAATTTTCTGTTGCTATGAACAATGATTTTCCAGGAGTCCTAGTTAGCAAAAGCTGAGTCTTCTAACAAGATTTAATTGCTGTACATTACATGGAGATGAGCAGCCATATAAATGTGATTAATAAAATTGCTTGCAACAGGAATTGGCCAACCTGCCTATTGCTCAACTCTGGCATTGTGGGCTGAGAGAAAAGTAAGCGGTCCAAAGTCACCCAGCTGGTTTTCATACCTAAGGCAGGGCTAGAATTCACAGTCTCCTGGTTTTGAGCCTGGTGCCTTAGATGCTAGACCAAACTGGCTCTCAGCGTGAAATCCCACATGTGTGGAATTAAACTGGTGTTTAAATCTGAAACATCAGAAAGGTATTCTTAGTGAATCCAAGCTTGAGTGAGATCTTTTGAGATAGGTGTCCTATTTTGGGAGCTACAGAGCAGTATTAAAAGGAGCATCGGTGGTGATCCTTTTTTACAATGCAGAACTCCAAAGGATGATAAGAAAGAGATACTGAAAATATCAACAATTTAAACTGTCATCTATGGACACTAGATTTTTGGAAGTCCAGAGCTACTATCAAAGAAAGATTGCCTCAGGGGTGAAATCCAATTTTTTTTACTACTGGTTCTTTGGGTGTGGCTTGGTGGGCGTGGTGTGACTTGGTGGGTGTGGCGGGGAAGGATACTGCAAAATCTTCATCCCCACCCCACCCCAGGGGAAGGATACTGTGAAATCCCCATTCCCTCTCCACCTGGGAGAAGGATATTGCAAAATCTCTATTCCCACCCCACTTTGGGGCCAGCCAGAGGTGATACTTGCTGGTTCTTTGAACTACTCAAAATTTCCGCTACCGGTTCTCCAGAACCTGTTGGATTTCACCCCTGGATTGCCTGGTATTTTGGTCTAGAGGTCCCAGAATTCCTTTCTATTGTCCATGCAGACTGGAACTATTGAGAATTGATGCCCAAATGCTTTCAGAAAAGCAATTAATGTCTCCCTTTGCAACCACTGTACCTAAAACTGATGTTCTTGGCATAAGAAGCAGGAGACACAGTTGATCGTGTACTTCTCTAAGGTCCCTTTTGTCACAATAGTTGTGATAAAAGGCATTCTGCTAAGGCCTCTTTTTTTTTTTTTTTTTAGTATTTTATTAGTTTATCCAAATATAAAATACATAAGTAAAAAGCAAATGAAAATTCAGGTAATCCTCAATTTACAATAGTTTGTTTAGTGACCATTCAAAGTTACTTTTAAAAAGTGAGTTATGACCATTTTTCACACTTACGACTGTTCTCCCATTGTGGGACTCAAGAGTATCCTTCTGCTGTCTGCTAAGTCTGATGTCATTCTGCTGTTCTCAGATTGGAACACCATCATCTCAAATATCATTGCTGCACTCAGTTTTCAGCATACTAAAAGAAGCTTATTAAGGATAAATAATTAATATGATAATTGAGATTTACGGTAAAGTAATGAGCAGTGGAAAGAAAAAGGAAATTGCAAATTTTGAATTATTGTGTGCATTATTAGTTAGCTCCCTCCTTCACTTTTCCTTTTTGTCTTCTTATATTTAAACACATACTATTTGCATTATAAAATCCCGTGTGTGTGTGTGTGTGTATCTATCTATCTCTACATATCTATGTCAGATAGATAGATAGATAGATAGATAGATAGATAGATAGATAGATAGATAGATAGATTTATTTATTTATTTCATTGTTCAAATTTATATACCACCCTTCTCCTGAAGGACTCAGGGCGATGAACAGCCGAAGATAAAAATACATAGAATACAAAATTTAAAAATAGTTTAAAACAAATTAAATAGTATTGGCCCACGACAATTAAAACACCCCCAATTTAAAATCAAATTAAGAATTAAATTACTCAATTAAAAGAGTTAGGCCAGCCCGGCTTGTTGGAATAGAAAGGTCTTGAGGGCGCGGCGGAAGGTGCGTAGATCTGGAATCCTCCTTATCTCTGGGGGCAATTCGTTCCATAGGGCAGGTGCCCCCACAGAGAAGGCTCTCCCCCTGGGGGCCGCCAGCTGACACTGTTTGACCGATGGCACCCCGAGGAGCCCCTCTCTGTGGTAGCGTACTGGCCGGCGGTAGTAGATAGATAACAAACTCTTTGGGTTATGATTGGTCATAAACTATAATAAATATTGGTTCCCCCAAAAGTTGCTATGAGATGTTTCCATTCCACTCAGCACTTTGAATGAGAAGTAGAAATAAGCTTACTTACAACGTTGCATGTGGTTTGACTTTAAAGTCCTTTTTCTGGAGATAAATAGTGATAAGATATTAAGGTTTTTTTTAAAAAAAATAGCAATAGTAAACATTCATTAGAGTCCAACCAATCAAGCGAAATTCTAGAGCACAGGTATCATGAAGACCTGAATAAAAACTAATTATAATATTTCATAAGTAACGAGCAAGCAGTTAGATCAAAGATATATGGCATTTACCACCCAATATTACTTATTTGTTTATTATTTCAGCTCCTTGGCTCTATCTCAATCAGTTATCAACAATCATTTGTTTATAACTTAGCAGCTCCTCCCCATTCAAGTCATCATCAACCATTGCATTGAGATCAGGTTTCTCCACCTGGTGCTCTTCAGAAGTGTTGGGAGCTCATCTTCCAGAATGGCCTGGAGAATTGGTTTAGGGCAGTAGGTGAACTGAGAATTCGGGGAATATTCTCATGGAGTATGAGATTGAGAAGGCCATCCTGCCCTGAAGTTTGTCTCCTCCTGGAGATTAATAGCTGAGCTCTGCTGGTGCACACACAGAGAAGCCATTAAGACTAGACCACTGGGTAAAAACCCAGGAGCCTGGAGGCCGCCACTCCCCAGATTTTATTGCTGGCTTCATTGTTTAAAAGCTGTGGCCTTTTGTTTCCTTCATCTGGAGAAATAAAATGCTGCGTTCAAAATACAATTGAACTCTGGAATTCAGTCAAACACTTCGAAAACTTAAAAGAAAGAGAGAACAGAGTTTAAGCAGAAACTGGATAGAAGACAAATCAGGAGAGACAAGGAAGACCCACCTGAGTTCCTTCAGTGCTGACAATCCCATCCTTTGGAAGGTCCCTAAAACTTTTCCCCCATTTGTAAGTAAATAATTAACAAACTATATCTGGCTGGCTGGCTGTCTATCGTGAGAAGTTTTCTATAAAAATATATTTTTATTCTTTATACTGTTTCCATCTTCCCTTAAAACATTAACAGAATCCACAATGGGCTGAGAATCAGGAGTCTCCATTAGATGATTGAAAGGTAAGCTGAAATTAAATTGATCAATTAAAAATAGCAAATGGGGGAAAATTTTTTACTCAAAGTACACCCATCAAATTAAGTCATCATGTAGACCAGGGGTGTCAAACTCAAGGCCCAGGAGCTGGAGCCGGCCCACAGGATGCTTAGATCTGGCCCGCGGGGCCACCCCGGAAACAGTGAAGGACTGGCCCGTGGTGCCTCCGCCAATGAAAACCGAGCTCGGGAGGACCTCGTGCAGCCCTTCTGAGCTCCATTTTTGCTGGCAGAGGGTTGCAGGCAGCAGTTGCAGTCAAAAACGGAGCTCGGGAGCCTGTTTTTGCAGGCAGAGTGCTTGGGCCACCACAGGCACCCCCAACACGAGTGATGTTGAGCTAGCCACGCTCACCCTGGCCATGCCTAACCCGCCCCCCCCAAGGTCAAACACAACCCTGGTAGCGCAGCAGACTAAAGCACTGTTATTAACATCAGCTGCCTGCAATTACTGCAAGTTCGAATCTTACCAGGCTCAAGGTTGACTCAGCCTTCCATCCTTTCTAAGGTAGGTAAAATGAGGACCCAGTTTGTGGGGGCAATAAGCTGACTTTGTATAAAATATACAAAAGAATGAAGCCTATTGCTTAACACATTGTAAGCCGCCCTGAGTCTCCGGAGAAGGGCGGCATATAAATCAAATTAAAAACAAAAACAAAAAAAAAACCCTGATGCGATCCTCAGTGAAATCGAGATTGAACCCCTGATGTAGACACTTCCACACCCAGGACAAGCTCCCCTATAAAACTTCGTTGCTGTATCCAATTTCTCTGCAACTGCTCCTAAAGACAAACTTTTTGCTTTTGCTATTTGCTTTTAGGAAAAGCAAATTCTTTCCTCACAGCTGTCTGGATCTCATTTTTATTTATTCTTCTGCAACCCTGGAACTCCAAACTATTCTTCTGACATTGTCTGTCTGTCCTGTTTATGTTACCTAGTTTGGCAATGAAACATCTGCAAGAAAACGACTAAGGACCCCCTATTTCAACCCTGAGCTACAAATATTATCCTATATCAGTGCCTGCCTGCTTGTCTGTCTGTCTGCCTGTCTGTCCTGGAATCACTGGTGCCTGCCTGCTTTTCAGATACATGCAGAATGATGAGTTGTCAAGAACCCAAACACCATCAGAATATTATTTGCCAAGACCCACCCCTTCTGCTGTAGCTAGAGAGGCACCCCATTATATTCAAGCGGATTCCTTTTATCCCACTTAGTCTCTCAAAAAAGCTCCATCAAGTTCACAAGAAAGTTTCATCTTGCCAATGTAGTACCAAGCACAGAGAGGGCGAGGACAATTGAGCGTCTTGCTGGCCGTTTGGGGCCTTGCAGTGTGGAAGATGAAAGTCCACCAGAGCAAGGTGCAACTGTAATAGGCCTCTGAAACCCAGCGGCATTTCTGAATATCGTGGGAGCCATGGATATCCTGGAATTAGATGCCCAATACAAGAGGAAAGCTGCTGGCAATGTAAGAAGCTGTTTCTGTATCTCTCACAATGGAGGAAGGGGGAACTGGGGTACATGATTCCAGGTAGTTACACATCTGCATGGGATTGTGAGAAGTCTGGGAATCCTTTCTCGTCTCAGGTAGCTTTTCTTCTGCTGCATACCTTTCCATCAAGGTCTATGGCAGGTGTCAGCAACCTGCGGTTCCAGAGCTGCATGCAGCTCTTTGGGCCCTCTATTGTGGCTCCCTGTCGGGTGATCCCACCACTGGCTGTCTCCACTCCTTGTCCTCCCCTCCCAGTCACTCCTCACCTGGCCTGAGAAGGTAAGGGCAATGGCTGGAGATGGAGAAGCAGCCGGGGCAGAGACAGAGAGATACAGAGAGAGGGGGAGAGAGAGAGACATAGAGAGATACAGAGAGAGTGGGGGAGGGAGGGAGAGAGGGAGAGAGAGAGAGAGATCAAAAGGATTTTTTGGTTCCTGGTGTTTTTTAACAACCGGTTCTTTGCCCTAATGACTGGCTGGGTAGGCATGGCTGGGGGGGGGGGTCATGTGACTGGTGGAAGTGAGTTAGATCGCATTGGCCATGCCCACCCAGGTTTTGTGGCTCCCGGTGTTTTCTTTTCTGTGGGAAACGGCTCCAAATGGCTCTTTGAGTGTTTAAGGTTGCAGACCCCTGGTCTATGGAGATTCTCTGTCATCCCAGTTGTCCCAAAGGCCAAGAGACAAGTGGACTTTCTCATTTTCCATTGAAGACATTTCACTTCTCATCCATATAAATCCTTCCATTCCCTACCATCCAGTCAGAGCTGAAGAAGCTTCTTGGATGAGAAGCAAAATGTCTTCAAAGAAAAAACAAGAAAGTCCAGTTGCCTCTTGAAAAAGCACCTTTGGCACTTTCCTTCAAGGAGAACCAGGACATTGGCGTCTCTTGGTTTGGATAAGAAAGATCTACCCAAAACTCTTTGCATCCATCCAATGGTGAAATTCAATTTTTTTTACTACCGGTTCTGTGGGCATGGCTTGGTGGGCATGGTGTGGCTTGGTGGGTGTGGCAGGGGAAGGATCCTGCAAAATCTGCATTCCCACCCCACTCCAGGGGAAGGATACTACAAAATCCCCATTCTCTCCCCATTCCTGGGGGAAGGATATTGCAAAATCCCCATTCCCACCCCATACTGGGGCCAGCCAGAGATGATATTTGCTGGTTCTCTGAATTACTCAAAATTTCCACTACCGGTTCTCCAGAGCCTGTCAAAACCTGCTGGATTTCACCCCTGCATCCATCTGAGCTCCACTTCCAGAGATTGAATGTGGATGCTTGGTGGGCATTTCCTATTCATCTGGGAGCAACAACATAAAAGTGTTTTTCAGAAAATGGGTGCAAAACAATGCAAGCTTATATTAGAGAATTCAATTTTAAAACATTACATTGTTTTGCAACTGCAATTTATTGAAGTTAAGTAATTTTAGATTTTAGATTTTAGACTTCCCCTGTTTTTCTGTCTTTTCAATAACAATGTATAGGATGACCCTGACAGCTTTTATACGGCTGTGAAGATCTGGTTATAGACCTAAACTTGGAGTCCTGAGTGTCTTAAGGACCTTGTTTCTTGGCTATATTAAAATTCATAGTAATAGTTTTATTCAGTGACCATATCTATTTATTTTGTATTGTTTTAATTGTATTTAATTGTAGCTTTAATTTTATTTTTTTATGATGCATTCCATCCAGGATCATTTGTTGAGATGGGCGGATATAGGAATAAAAAAAAAAGTTAATGAAATCCTGTTCTTCAAAATATGATAAAACTAGCTCTGTCACATCTAGAGACCCTTCCCCTGCTGATAAACAGAGGCCATAGTTTTGTCCCAGAGTCCTATTCTCATAACGCCACTTCAGAAACAGCGTTGCTATTTTTTTCCTTTCAACAGAAAATTCCACTTCTCTGTCCTTCTGACAAATAATGTCAGGCATGAAAGACTAGGTGCATACAAACTAGTCCAAATTGATTTATTGCTAAATAGAAAATAGAAAATTCTCAGGACTCTTCCCAACTAGCAGATAGCACTTGCTTGGTTGGAGTTAGATACAGGTCCAAGGAATTAAAGGGGAGTTGGACTTTAGTTCGTTTGTGGCTATCTTGGGATTCTAGAATGATTCCTCTTTTAACTATGCCTCCAGGTTCTGCCTATCCCTCTCCTACATTAAGTGTTGATTAACAGAGAGAAAATAGTAGTATACCATATCTTCCCATTTCAAGATAGAGCGTTTGGCATTAGGTCTTATCTTAAAAGAGCATTTAGTGTTAGCATTACTCTGTTCCAAGTTAAGAGCCTTGGTGGTGCAGCAGACTAAAGTGCTGTTAAGTAGCACCAGTTGCCTACAATTACTGCAAGTTCAAATCTCACTAGGCTCAAGGTTGACTCAGCCTTCCATCTTTTCGAGGTAGGTAAAATGAGGACCCAGTTTGTGGGGGCAATAAGCTGACTTTGTATAAAAAAGAATAACGCTTAGGGCCCCCCGAAAAAGCCCTACTAAGCAGGTATATACAAAAGTATGAAGGCTATTGCTTAACACATTGTAAGCCGCTCTGAGTCTCTGGAGAAGGGTGGCATATAAATCGAACCAATAAATAAATAAATAAATAAATTTGGCAATGACTCTCTAGATTGTATCTAGACAAGTGTTCAGTCCAAAATGAATACAATACAATAAATGTAGATTTATTTTATTTAGCTCTACCCAATGTAATGAATTAATACATTATATAAGAGATGAATAATTAGCATTCTACACTGAACACTGCCTGTGGGGTGTCCATATTCTGTGTTGGCATAATATTATTGCCTCTGAATGATATAAGTATAAAAAGCATTCTTTAATATATAATCTGATTATCAGTTCTGCCCAAGCAGAAAGGTTGAAGTCTGTATGAATCTCAGATCAATTTTCCCAAAGAAGAGACTTAATTACTCACTCACTCACTCATTTATTCATTTATTGTTTGTTTGTTTATTTATTTATTTAAGAAGTTTATATAGCAACACAACTCATACCCAGTGATTCCAAGTCATCATCATCCAGATCCCTAACCATCAAAGATGATTAAGGGGTTGAAGGCTAAAACATATGAAGAATGGTTGTAGAAATTGGGTATGTCTAATCTAGTGAAAATAAGGACTAGGAGTGACATAATAGCAATATTCCAATATCTGAGGGGCTGTGACAAAGAAGAGGAGGATCAACCTATTTTCCAAAGCACCTGAAGGCAAGAAAAGGAACAATGAATAGACGGAAACTAATCAGGACAGAAGCAACCTAGAACTAAGGAGAAACTTCCTAATAGTGAGAACAATTAAACAGTGGAACGACTTGCTATTATAAGTTCTGGGTGCTTCATCACTGGAAGTTTTTAAGAAGAGACTAGACAGCCACCTGACTGGAATGGTATAGGGTCTCCTGCTTGAAAAGTGGGTTGGATTAGAACAGGGGTCCCCACACAGCCTACTTGTGGGCCGTGAAGGGTTTGCAATAGGGCCACTGAAACAGACGACTAGTGCATATGTGTGCATCCTCACTTGGCTGAGCAGCAGGCATGCACTTGCACTTACATGATAGGCAGGTGCGTATGCATGCCACTTGTGGAAATGGAGCTGTGCATGCATGCATGCGCTTGACAGCCACTTGCACGAACCACTCCCTCTCCCTGCTGGTCCGCAAAGCTGGAAACATTGGGGAAGTAGAAGACCTCCAAAGTCCCTTCCACCTCTGTTATTCTGTTCTGAATGGATCATAGCTCAACTGTACAGTGTGCATAAGCTCACAAAGTCCTAGGTTCAATCTGTAGTGTTTCTTGAGAGGGTAGTTTTGTCTGAAATTCTATAAAGTTCAGTGAGCCTGTCATAACTCTAAAGATCATCCAACTAACTTTGGGATTTTAAACTATTTGACCAGGGTGCAAGTCAACTTTTCCACAGTGAGGGGTGGGTCACTGTTAACTGTTCCTTGTTCATATAAGATTTGAGTTTTATTTCAAATCATGGGATACTCAGACCATCCCAATCATTGTTTCCAAGTAACATACATACTCAAACTCCTTAAAGTAAGCTTAAACAGAAACAAAACTTTATAATAATATAGTAAGAACAATGATTTAAGGTAGATTAAACTTCTGTATTGTTCCTTTCCAAGGAGAAAATGGTGAATCAGGATGATGGGTGAGAAAGCAGAATTTCTTAGCTCCTTTTTTGGGTTGGTTGGATTTCTCTGGAAATAAATAGAACCCTTAAACTAATTATCAGTATGCCATCGGCAGAATAAAGGAACTGCAGCTTGGGACTTAAGTTAGTTAGTTAATTTAAGTCTCCTGGGCCAGATGGTTTACATCTCAGAAGCAACTAATGGAGATCATCACAGAATCTTTTTGGTAATCTTTGAGAATTTCTGAAGGATTGATGAGGTCCCAGAAGATTTGGGGAGGTCAAGGATTATCCCAGTCTTCAAAAATGGAAAAACCACAGGCCTGCTAGCTTGAAGACTACACAAGATGAGGTTCTCAAAAGGATGATAAAAAAGGCGTGTTTACGGGCACTTGAATAGGCATGCTACAATTAACAGGAAACACCATTTTCAGAAACAAACTGTGCACACTAACTATCTTTCTTAGGCAGAGTTTCTTGCTTAGTAGCAAAATACTAGCTACAATAGAAACTCTCATTCAACTCATTGATAAAAATGTTGAACATAAACTCTGCCCAACACTACCCTCCAGTTAAAGTGTTACCATTAAGGAATTCTTTGGGTGTGGTCATCCAACTAATTGTGGGTCCATCTAACAGTGGTAGTTTCTATCCCATATTTTACAATTCTATTAAGGAGAATGTCACAGAGTACTCTTTCAAAAGCTTTACTGACACCCATACAGGCTCTGTCCACAAACCTTCTCCTGATCTACTAAGCTGGAAATTTATTTAGAATCATTTCGGTAATTGATAAAAGCTTAAAAATATTGCAGGATCCAATTTGGGTCAATCGATCTTGACTGGATCCTGCAACATTATCCTGGAACACATATATTTGCCTTCATTTGTTTAGAAATATTTATTGACACAGAACTAATTTTTCCTTCTGAATGGTGATGATCAGAATTTTATCCAAGGAAGATGGGAGGTTAAGAAATATGAATTATAAATAAACAAATAAACTTAGGTCATCAGATAAAATCATCATCTTTTTCCTACATATTTCCATATTATGAAGCAAATTAGGTAACTACAATTGACAAGGCTTTCTCTGTAATGGCAACCAAGGTGGAATTTGTTTTGCCAAGTTGTCAGACGTTAATGTTTTTATTTTGGATTAACTTAATTAGTGTGATGAATGCAATGTTTTGTCTCATGGTGTTAATTCTTGTTCACCTAGCAGCCTACACTAATTAAAATTTATATTTAATTTTACCAGTTATCCAATTATTTTAAAATAACAATAATGGGTACAAATCTTATAATTACCTGAATTGTAAATCTAATTAAGATAAATAACATTATATGTAATGGTATCATATTCATCAAACAATTAATTGAGTTGCCCTTTCTGCTTCCTTATTAACATGTTTGAGCAGAAGCTTCCAATTGCTAGTAAGTAGATGAACCAGTACAACTGGTCCATTCCCATTATTTTTCTGTAAAATTTGTGAACACCCAGAATAATGGGTGTGGTACAATTTAGGGTAAGTTGTGTTGAAATTCTACACCTTGCTAGCTGAGATTCCAGCTGTGGAAAAACATAGTGGAAGAGGAAAAGAGAAGAGAGGGAATAATGAATAAGATTAATTGTTAAGTAATAATAAGAACAACCTTTATAAAGCATTATGAAATATTATGATGTCCACAATATTCCATTTAGAATTGAACCCACCACACACAAAATCCCAGGCTTGGACTATTAATTTTGGCATTTCTTAGTTTTGATCTCTTTCAAAATGATAGATAAAAGTCAAGATGGCAACAGGACCGTATGACCAAAGTGCCACCCATTTGGATGTGTGTCACAATGTGCATTACAAACAGGTGAAGCTCTGGTCGCACTGTTGCAGCTGCCCTCTTGATGCTTTTTTTCCCATGAGCTGCAGACATTCCTCGTTCCAGGAAAGCAAATTGAAAATGCTACAAAACAGTATGTGTTGTTGTTTTCTTACATTTCTTTTTTCTTCTTTCTCCCTCTTCCCGTTTGTCCTATCTTAGAAGAGAACCATGCTGCTTAGGCTCCTGCCATTTCTGGTCTCCTGCACCATCTATTTCATTATTTTGCTCCCTGAGCCCAGCTTGAAGAGCACTGTCGTAAAATGCTTCCCCACATTCTCCCTGGCGTTCTTTGTGGCCACTCAGTCCAAAAATGGAGGTGTCTTCAAACCGTATTCCCGGTGGATTTTCCATGGTCTCTTGTTCGCATGTGTGGGAGATGCCTGCTTGGTATGGCCAGAGTTCTTCCTTGCAGGTATGGTGTTTGAAGGTTTATGACACTGTTGAGGAAGTATCTAGGCTAAAATTTGGGGCTTGTTTTAATCATTTCAGTAGCTTAGTTGCCAAATCGGAAAGTCCATTACTTTACATGGGTACCATTCCTTATCCCCAACAGTTGGTAGATGAAAAGTAAGCACCCTTCTAGTATTGCATTATAGTTTATGAGCCAGATGTTTAGACTGGATTTGGTATTTTGTCTACCTATTATTGTTATATTTATTTATTACCCGCTTGTGATGATTGTCTGCTCTTTTTCATCCTACCTGTTGTTTGAACAGTCTCCCTCAGAGATGGACAACCCATGGTCCTGTAGATACACTATTGCTGACCTATAGATTCCAGCACCTTTCCCCACAGTCTATATTGGTCACTGGGAACTGCAATTCAATAAGATCTAGAGCAGTGTTTCTCAACCTCATCCATTATAAAATGTTTGAACTTCAACTCCCAGAATTCCCTAGCCAGCACTGCTGGCTGGGGAATTCTGGGAGTTGAAGTCCACACTTCTTAAAGTGGCTGACGTTGAAAAACACTGATTTAGAGAAACATCATTCCTGTATGCTGATTGATGCTGGGGTTTATTTTAGATGTGTCTGAGTGTGTGTACTTATACATAATTTATATATGTTAGCATTGTTGTCAAAGTTGTCAAAGACAACCCAGAGCATAACTGTTCAGCCTTAAGGCCTGGATCTACTGAGAGAACAGCCAGAGACACACAGTCAAGTGCTTTTCTCCAATCCATGATCTGGCAGAAAAGATATACTGGCGTAATGAGAGCCAGTTTAGTCTAGCAGTTAAGGTGCTGGCCAAGAAACCAGGAGTCTGGGAATTCTAGTCCTGCCTTAGGCATGAAAACCAGCTGGTTGGGGGACTTTGAGCCAGTCACTCACTTACTCAAAACAACCCCTCTCAAAGGTATGGAGAAAATATTAGATATACCATGAGTTATATATATTAAAAGGCAGGATAAAAATCTAATAATAAATTATGTTGCCTTCATTGCCATTTTTATCTTGATAATTAGGACAGCAAAAGCAGTGGTGAAATCCATTTTCTTTTACTACTGGTTCTGTAGGCGTGGCTTGGTGGGCGTGGTGTGGCTTAGTAGGCGTGGCAGGGGAAAAATACTGCAAAATCTCCATTCTCACCCCACTCCAGGGGAAATATACTGCAAAATCCCCATTCCCACCCCACTTCTGGGGGAAAGATATTGCAAAATCTCCATTCCCACCCCACTCTGGGGCCAGCCAGAGGTGGTGTTTGCCGGTTCTCCAAACTGCTCAAAATTTCCGCTACTGGTTCTCCAGAACCTGTCAGAACCTGCTGGATTTCACCCCTGAGCAAAAGGTACTGTTTTAATGCATGGCAAATTAAGTAAAGGAATTGTGGGATTTCCCTGGTTTCACTCCCTTGCACAAAGGAAAAACTGTCACCTGTCACTCTCCTTAATTTGGGGTGAAGTAGGGCCAGATGAATTTATCTGAATGCTTAGCCAGCTTACATTTCCCAACTAACAGACTGCAGGTGGGGAGATATTACACCCCACTACCTGTCCTTTGGGCCATTTCTGAACATGGGTTTAATGCTTTTCTCAAAGTGCATTAAACATAGGTCCTAAAACAACCTGACTAGCTGGTCATAGATCTGGAGGAGGAAGCAATCAATGAACAGTGAACATCATCATTAAGTATTGCAAACAACTACACGGCTGTACTTTGGCAGAACTGCACGTAGCTGTGCTTAGACACAGTAGCAACCTCCCCACTCCATCCCACAAAGTGATGAAAAGAACAAAAGGTCTAGTGTGGTTCATTGAAGGTCCTGTCTGAAGGGGGGGGGAATCTAATGCACTCACTGGGGACAGAAATGCAGAAATGGCAAATGCACATTTCTTTTCCAGTTTGAAGTGACTTTCCATGCAGCAAAGGGCCAATGTTCTCTTGAAAGCATAAAAGGGCCTTGGTAGTACAGTGGTCTAAAGCACCCTGTTATTAAGAACAGCTGCCTGCAATTACTGCAGGTTCGAATCTCGCCAAGGCTCAAGGTTGACTCAGCCTTCTATCCTTTCTAAGGTAGGTAAATTGAGGACCCAGTTGTGGAGGCAATAAGCTGACTTTGTATAAATATATACAAAAGTATGAAGGCTATTGCTTAACGCATTGTAAGCCGCCCTGGTCTCCGGAGAATAATAATAATAATTTTATTTCTATACCGCCCTTCTCCCGAAGGACTCAGGGCGGTGTACAGCCTATTTAAAAACACAGACAAAACAACAATATAAAATTTAAAATAATTAAATAAGTGGCTCAGATTTAAAACCCCAAAAAATTTAAATACCCCAATTTAAAACTATTATGTTAGGGCGGCATATAAATCAAATTAAAAAAAAATAATCCTGATTTCTAAACACATATTTAGCATGTTGACTGTGCTAAACAAGGATATGTAAGATGCCCACCTGACAGATGCTTTGGGAAATGGTGGACAGGCATTATGGGAGCAGATGTCTCTGGGGAAGCCAAGATGTCTGGTCTCTCCTGCAAGCTAAACGAACATAGTCACGGAGGGCAGTGCCCAGAGCAGGAGCACATCTGCAGGAGACTGAATTCAGAAGGAACTGGGCAGGTTCCAACTCTTCAACCCATCACCAACAACATCCTTAGGGAAGTGTGTCTAGACAATTTCCAGAGCAACAACTGTGTTGGAACAAGATGAGAAATATCACTTTAAAACAAGAAAGCTAAAGGTGGCTGCAAATAGTTCAGAGGTGGGCTAAGGATGAAATGAGAGCAAGATTGAGAAGATATGGCAAAGAAACAAAGCATCATGCCACCATCTGAGGAGCAGAAAAGCCAATACAGATAGTCCTTGACTTAAAACCGTTCATTTTGTGATCATTCGAAGTAACAGCAGCACTGAAAAAAGTGACTTATGACCATTTTTCACACTTAAAACCGTTGCAGCATCTCCATGGTCAAAACCTGAACACTTCACAACTGGCATGTATTTATGACAGATGTAGCGTCCCAGGGTCATGTGATCACTTTTTGCAAACTTCTGACAAGCAAAGTGAACGGGAAAGCCAGATTCACCTAACAACTGGGTTACTAACTTAACACCTGCAATGATTCATTTAACAGCTGTGGCAAGCAAGGTTGTAAAATGGGACAAAATTCATTTAACAGCTGTTTTACTTAGCAATGGAAATTTTGGGCTCAATTGCTGTTGTAAGTCAAGGACTACCTGTAATTTGCATTTTGTCATGTGTAATACCAATTCCCGTCACACGAGGGAGCCAGTTAAATGCATATCACAAATGCAATGAGAAGGTATAAAATCTAAAGATATACAGGGTATTTATTGCAAAATAGAGTCCCCATGAGTGAGTAGGCAGCTGTATAAATTTTCCAAAATAAATAAATAAAACATCTGGGAGGAAATATGGAGGATGACAATGTCCAGAACTGGTTTGAATAGCTGTATATATCCTGTTCCTTACGATCATGTAAACAGAAAGACAACGTTAATATGGTAGCACATCCAATCCAGCTCTTGCAATTTGAGGCTTGATTGTCTTTGGAGTGGCTGACAGTTATGGGTCCTGGGATTTGGCAGAGCTGGAAAGTACCAGATTGGGAAAAGCTGATCTTATTCTTGCAGAAACAAGCAAGGGGATTTAGCCTGCCTTATAGTTTGAGAAATCCCAATCTATGGATTAAGATGAAACAAGAAATCATCTCACCTATCGCCAAGTTTTTAAAAAAAACAAAATTATGAACATACATGGAAACAAATATTGTACATGAATTTCATCTATTGAAAGTATAGTAAAGCTAGGCTACTTTCCTTTAGAGATGAATATCTCATTCATGGAAGGAAAAGTTCTGTAGTAAATTCTCAGTAGTAGCTCTTTGGAGTTGTTTGCTATATATTAATAGATTGAGAAGGACATCAAGATACTTTCTGATGAACCCTTTTAATACTGTCAAAGGCAGTTTGTGGGTTTCAATCTGGTGCCACAGATACATCCCTTGGTTACCACTAAACTCTCTGCCCCACCTGTTCAAAGGACAGAGGTCGTCCTCAACTTATGACTAGAGCTGTGAACTTCCATCCCTAAGCAATGTAGTCGTTCAGTTGTGCCTGATTTTACAACTTTTGTGCCACAGCTGTTAAGCAAATGCTCTAGTCCAGTGTTTCTCAACCTTGGAAGCTTGAAGATGGGTGGACTTCAACTCCCAGAATCCCCCAGCCAGTGCTGCTGGCTGGGGGATTCTGGGAGTTGAAGTTCACCCATCTTCAAGCTACCAAGGTTGAGAAACACTGCTCTAGTCCTTAAGCATATTGGATTCCCCCATTGAATTCGCTTGATAGAAGCCCCTTGGGAGGGTACAAACAGCCACCAGATGGCCCTGCGATGCAGCAACTCTTATAAATACATGCTGGTTGCAAATCGGGGTTTCCTGAGCAATGGGTTGGACTAGAAGACCTCCAAGGTCCTTTCCAACTCTGTTCTTTTCTGTTAAATCACCAGAATTGTAATCACATGACTGCAGGGATGCCGTGATGGTTGTAAGTGTTAGTACTGGTTGTAAGTCCAAGGCCTAATTGCAAGTCACTTAGCGCCATTAACAGTTGTTAAAATAAATACCGGAATAAGAAATTGCAGATAGGTTATGAATGATTATATAGATATTTGGTGTGTCTTTAAGTAATAAAGCTAGGCGGGTAATTAGGGAATTGAAGGAACAAGAGATGTGGAATTTCATAATTGTTTAGACTAGGATTGATTATGATTGTTGAAGTTTATACCCTGTAATTTGTTCTGGGAAGAGGAGGAGGGGAGGGGGGAGGTTGAGGTAGGGAAGGGGGGGGAAATATGTAAACTTTTTGTAAAACTTTTCAATAAAAAAAAAGTTTAAGTTCACAATATACTTTAAAACACTATTAATATTAATAATACAATTAGATTACCTAATATTAAACTTTCACCTACTAAGCTTAGCTTATTTTTAATTATAATAGATTCTATTATCTGTTGATATGTATGCTACTATTTCCCCTATTCGTATTTTCTATATATTTTTTCTTTTTATTAATAAAAAGTTTGTACTCATTAAAAAAAACAGTTGTTAAATGAATGGTCATAAGTGGAGGACTACCTGTACTGTTAAAAGCATTCCTACACCTAAAATATCATCTTTATTTCCAAGAATATCTCTGGTCTTAGAGATAAATATGGCAGGTGGGTTGCAATCCAGTTCTTGGAAAATGTGCGCCCTGGCCAACCCCACCCATAAAATATTAACAAGGTAAACTGAGGGTTTGAAGAGGCCACAAACAGCTTCTGTTGGTCAAAAAATGGATGCGCACGAAAGATGAGGCGATCGGCTTATGATTTTGCCACAATACTCCATTTTGTCAGGGAGCTTTCATTTAAGGGGGAAGGAGAAAGTGAGACACCAAAACACATGTAATAATACAGCCTTCAAGAAACAGGCCGCCTGTGTCATGTTCTTCCTTTTCAGAGCATGCATTAGAGAGTAAGGCATTAAATATTTATCAGGAATAAACATAGCTACCCTTTAGCCTTGCTGTGCCTGTATCTTTTCTTTCCCAGTTGAAAAGAGCACTTAGACACCAAATTGGGGACAGAAGGTAGACAATAGTCCAGGACTGAATGAGGCAATTTTGTAGGTCATACTCAGAGTGCCTTTTCTTGGCTTAGCAAGCTGCAATTATAGAATAATCCTGTGCATCTGAAGTCATAAGCCAGAGGAGGCTGCTAGAATGACTGAACTCGCGGTGGCTGATCTTGATGGAGCAATGCAGCTCATGTGGCTGTTGTTATTGGTTTGCCTTTTCTCCCCTTTACAGGAATGGGTGCCTTTGCCATCTGCCACATCTGCTACATCGCAGCCTTTAGCCGGGCTCCCCTTCAACCTCTCACCTTCCTGGTCATCCAGGGACTCGTGGCTGTGAATTACGTGGTGATCCTGCTGCCCTGTTTGTCAGGTTTCTACACGTGGGCAGTGCTGTTTTATTCAGGCCTCCTTGGCGTCATGACCTGGCGTGCATTGTCTTGCTCCAAAAGGTTGGCTTCGGCAGGCAGCTTGGTCTTCATCGTGTCTGATATGTTGGTTGCCCATGACAAATTCTGCACCCCCCATCCTCTCGCCCGTGTCCTGTACATGAGCAGTTACTACCTCGCCCAAACCTTGATTGCCCTCTCAGTAGATTCTCCGAAATTTTCCTCAAAGGAGAACTGAGTCTTGAATTGGACTTCTGGATTGACCTTCAGCATCAAAGTTTTGCCAGGCCTTCTGCCTCTCAAATTCACACTTCTCAAGTTCAACTAACTTCTGGATGGGTTGAAACTACAACTCCCAGGATTCCCATGGGCCAACAATTATGAGTAATCAGCAGCAGCTATATCCATAATCCTCAGACAGTATGGACTTTGTGGATTCTCAAGAATTGTAGGGCTGTATTCATGGAGGACACCACCTTGGAAGAAGCTCTGGTCAGATTCTTTTCAGAAGTTCAGGTTCTGAGTCCAAATGGTTCTAAGAACAGCTGCCGTGTCCTCCACATTTCCTATCTTCATTGTTATTTCACAATTTTCTTCCGGGGTGTGTGTGATGATGTCAATAATCTAATAATAAAAGGACTAATGACAAAAAGAATTATGAAGTATTTATTTTATTTAAAGGACATGTTTGCTAAAAAAAACAAACACCTGTTTTGTTGCCTAATTAAAGCAGCCCAGATAGTTAGCTGCATTGTGTGAACATAATATAGGTCTGGTTGTGTATTTCCTTCTCCTGGTCAGAACTAACTTTCAGTGCTGTCTTCCTCAAGCTTGGACCTTCCTTCCTATCCTACTATTATCCATTCAAATACCTCTCAAACAATCCTTCCTTTCCCGTGAAGTTATTTCTTGAAAACCTTTGTATTTTGCTTGGGGATCCAAGAATGGTACTCACAAGCATCCCATGTGGCCAACAGGTGAGTTTCTTCATTCCAAATGGTCTGTTGCCATATGGACCTTCTTCTCCTCATGTGTCAAATTGTGCTGTCCATATTGCCCCCTTGACTTTTACAGGGCAAATTCCACCAGCGAGCTATTTAGATTGAAGGGAAGGGCATGCAACGGCAGAAGACAGAATGGGGTTAGGAAAGCAATAGAAAAAGAAACCAATTACAGTGTTAGAAGGGTGGCATAGAAAGCCATTTTTCAGTTCAGGTAACTGCATCTAGCCAAGCTTGGTAAGGCAAGGGGAAGCTAAAGCAGCATTATTACTTTGATGGTACACTACTAGGAAATCCAGGGTTGTACTCTCAGCTGGAAAATGGTAAAATCTAGCAAGAAGATAACAAAGGCAAGCCAGCCATCCATCCATCCATCCATCCATCCATCCATCCATTCATTGGTCATCCTTGTAGTTTGCCTACTCCAACAGATTCAGGTATCAGTTTTGGAAGCCATGTTAGGCTGGAAGCTTCCATGCTGCCACCTTCTCAAGTGTGGGGAAGTAGGAGGGGGGATTTAGTAGAGGGGTTGTTGGTAGACATAATTGTCACACATAAATGTCTTACCCATGCCAGGGGTCAATAGGGACACAGTAGGGCAGGGGTTAACTCCAGTACCCACTTGGCCAGCTCCACCCACAGACCACTCCTTACCTGAGTCCCCGCCCACAGGTATAAAAGGTTGGCACACTCCTTCCTGACTCTCACTTCCAGATACAGCATGTGATGTTATATTGAACCTGTAAATAAAAGAGACTTGTTTAAATGATTGAATCGTGTCAGTTATTGGGCCTGATCCATGGATTCGGTAAGAATAATAACATTCTTCCTGTTGGTCAAGGTCAGGGCGATCCGGCATCTGGAGAAGGAGTGGTCGGAGTGCTGAGTAGAGATGGGACGGACGTTGATTGGAGCATGTGATCAACTGAGGAGTGAGGGGATGGTTTTTGGGGTTTTGATTTACTGAGGGAAAACCCGGACCTCTCAGATTCGGGTTTTCCCAGATGTGCCAGTTTACCTATTGTTCTGTCCCCACTTCCCTACACAGGCAAACACACAACCAGGCACGCCTGCCAAGATTTTATTATACAATCAGACTAGAATCCCTTGCAGATAAGAGTTTTGGCAGTAAACTGCGAAATGCCTGCCAAGTCAGTTTTCACAAAAAGTAAGCAAGAGAGAGTTTATCCTCAGTCCGATCCAGTAGCAAAAAAGTAATCCATGAAGCAAGAGTTAGCCAAGGTCCAATCCAAATATATACAAGCCAGATTTCAGGTAACGCGATGTGACTCTCAGGTTTTTAACTTTGACCGTCACAAAGCCTGAAGAGCAATCACACCCACTCTTATTCCTTGTGGGATGTGGCTCAGTGACTCAGCTCAATCTCTGGCCCTCCCACACCTCTTTCGTTGCTGTGCACACTTCTCCCTCCGACGCTGCCTGGGATCAAGCCAGGATTCATCATCCTCGCTCCCTATCTGTTGTTGTTCTGATATGCTTTCCTCCTGGCATATCCCAGGCTGTTCCTCTTGGCTTTCAGATGGAACCTGAGGCATTGCCAGAGAGGAGGGTCCTGGAGAGGGAGGCCTTATCAGTTCCTCCCCATCACCTTCTGAGTCCTCTTCCTCTGTTAGGACAGGCTCGGGAGTCGGAGTCACAACACCTATTGTAGTAAAGAGAACTTTGGAAAATGTTTGCTTCCGTGTCTTTACTTGGAGCGAGGGTGTTCTGGAATGCTGACATCAGGGCATTTAGCAAGGTGTGAAACCCATAAAACATTTGTTTGAAAAAACAAAGCTCCAGAACTGATGTCTTCTACATGACTTGAAAAAGTTTTTATATGTTTTCTGGGACAAGAGGTGCCACTGTGATGGGGACAGGAGGCTGATTTGAAGAAACTACATCTCCAGCTCCCCTCCTTTGATATCATAGCCCACGTGGGGTGGGTGATTTTTAATTGACCCTCCTGGATTTCATGCACCAGAAGGATAATCTCTTTCTGAAGTAGGTTGCCTTGCAAATGCTTGAGTGCCAAGCGCAATATAGAGGGGCCAAGTCTTTAGAGGTGAAAAACAGCACTTTTTTGTCAAGAAAACTAGGTGGATCTCTTGTGTTTCCACCAAGAGTAGATCTTAATTTGAAACTTTACGTTTTATAGAACATAGAATAACAGTGTTGGAAGAGACTCTCTGTTAAGGATATTGTTGTTGTGTTACCAACCAGCAGAGTGTAGAGCACAGAGAAATGTTGCTGAGAGCAATGAATAAGAGATGTGCAAACTGGTTTATCAAAAGCTTACTTTATAGGGAAAAAACAATCTCGTTGTCTTTTAAATCAATCCAAGATATCAGTCCAGTGATACAAAAATCTTCTTACCACACAAACAGTAGTTGGTTAGAACAACAAACTCACTCTGATTCACAAACCACGATGGTAGCAGATCCATCCAACGATGATAGCACAATGGTAGCAACTCCACACACTATGGTAGCATATCATCAACTGAATACTTTACAGTATCTTTCTTAAATACGTTTACAACTAGTGATTATCTAATTACAGCATGACTCAGCATTACAATGAATCAGCAGTAAAACTTTAAAGTCACACAATATATATTCAGTTAAAGTCACAGAACACATATATTGCCTGGACAACTTGTTAGGTTCAAACCATATCCTAACACTCTCAATGTCTTCTAATTCAATCCCCTGCTCAAGCAGCAGACCCTATACCAGTGATGGCTAACCTTTTTGCCATCGCATGCCAAAAGCTGGGGGAGTGCGGGATGATTGCATGCATGTGTGCCCATACCCATAATACTATGTGCCCTGCCCCTCCACGCATGCACGTACAACCCCCCCCACTCCCCTCGCTTTTGGCATGCAATGGCACAGTGGGCCCAGTAGGCCCGTTTTTTGCCCTTCCCAGGCTCCAGAGGCTTTCTAGGAGCCTGGGGAGGGTGAAAACAGCCTTCCCCATCCCCTCTGGAGACCTCCCCCGGAGGCCGGAAACAGCCATTTCCTGATTTCCAGTGGGCCCAGAAGGCCCAAAAATCAGCTGGCCAGAGTGCGTATGCATGCTGGAGCTGAGCTAGGGCAATGCTCACGTGCACATCAATACGGCTCCACGTGTCACCTGTGGCACGTGTGCCATAGGTTCGCCATCACGGCCCTATACTATTCCAGAGAAACGGTCGTCCAATTTCTTCTTAAAAACCTCCAGGTATGAAGCATACCCACAACTTTTGAAGGCAAGTTGTTCCACTGGTTGATTGTTCTCACCGTCAGGAAATTTTTCCTTAATTCTAGGTTGGAGCTCTCTTTCATAATAATCTTCCATCGGTTACTTCTTGTCCTGCCCTCAGGGGCTTTGAAAAAACTAGGTTGATCCCCTCTTCTCTGTGACAGCCCCCTTTTTATAGAAAAGGCTGAAAAAAAGAAAAAAAGAATCCCCACCACCACCACCAATCATATAAAAAAGGCTGAAAACAAAGAAGCTGGAACTGACCACCCTTTCTGAAGGATTTTTTCTGGGGATATTCTACTTAATTTTTCTTCCATTTTTTTTTTTTTTGCTTCCTCTTTGACTCATCCTTTCTCTTCTTGCTATACATGGGGAAAAATTAATTTCATTTGCATTTCAATGTGAATGTAATTCAATGCATTTTGGAGGCAACACACCCACACAGATCATTATTTGAATCCTCAGCTCCCTGAAGTTTTCAATGTGGTTTACTCATGTTTTTAAAATGTAAAATTAGAGGGGAAAGTCTTTCTTGTTTTTGTCTCTTCTTTCCCAATATCTCTATCTTTTTCCTCCCAATTGGTTTATCCTTCTTTTTTGGTCTACTCAGAAAGTGTAGCAGTTTTAGGGACAGCAAACTAGTATTGCCTTTGTACAAGGGGGAAATCTACTTACCTTCCTTTCCGGTTCGGAAGCTCATGCGCGTCACATGTGCGCACACACCGTCTGCACATGCACAAAACCTTCTGCACATGCACAGAAGGTAAAAAAATATTACTTCCTCATTAAAACCAGGAAGTAATGACACCCGGGTGGCGATCGCTTCCAGATCACCGAACCAGGTTTTCGTGGGTGTTAGTATGTAGGTCTTTGGTTATTCGGGTCTTCTCCCAAGTAAAATTGGAAGTGTCTTGGCGATGTTTCGACGAAGTCTCATTCGTCATCTTCAGGCTGGTGTTCTCGGCTTCGTGCTTCCAGGAGCAATGTGAGGGCTCAGAGCACAACCAACCCCCCATCCAATCAGAGCACAGCCAAGTTCCCACCCAATCAGCTCACACCTCCACTAGCAGTTAAAAGGAAGAGACAGCTGCGATCTCACATTGCTCCTGGAAGCACGAAGCCGAGAACACCAGCCTGAAGATGACGAATGAGATGGCATGCAGAGCCCTCTGTGGGCATGTGTGCTGTCGCCAGCTACTCTTCCGGTTTCCAGCGCACACATGCATGTCAGCCAGTTGGTCTTTGCAGGCACCAGAGCGCCGGAAAATGACCTGAAAAATGGGCAAAAAACAGGCTGTTTTCTCGGCCATTTCTGGGCGTTTTTGGGGCTGTTTTTGGGCCATTTTCTGGGCCATTTTCCGTTAAAAATCGTTAAACGCAACTCTGTATTAG